GGTAAGCAGACTTCCAAATGGACATTTGTTTACTTTCTCTAGGTTTAAACTAGAAATTCTCATTCTTTCGTGAGAATCACGTTTACTTAAAATAACTTCAGAACTTCAAGTTATTGCCTTCCTTTTCAGTATACTTGCAATAATAATCCAGTGTCGTGGTTTAACCCCAGCCAGCAACTAAGCACCACGCAGCCGCTCACTCACTCCCCCCCCATCCAGTGGGATGGGGGAGAAAATCAGGAAAAGAAGTAAAATTCCTGGGTTGAGATAAGAACGATTTAATAGAACAGAAAAGAAGAGACTAATAATGATAATGATAACACCAATAAAATGACAACAGTAGTAATAAAAGGATTGAAATGCACAAATGATGCGCAGGGCAATTGCTCACCCCCCGCCGACCGACACCCAGCCGGTCCCCAAGCGGCGAATCCCTGCCCCCCCCTTCCCAGTTCCTAAACTAGATGGGACGTCACATGGTATGGAATACACTGTTGGCCAGTTTGGGTCAGGTGCCCTGGCTGGGCATGAGAAGCTGAAAAATCCTTGACTCTAGTCTAAACACTACTGAGCAACAACTGAAAACATCAGTGTTATCAACATTCTTCACATACTGAACTCAAAACATAGCACTGTACCAGCTACTAGGAAGACAGTTAACTACATCCCAGCTGAAACCAGGACATCCAGTATTTCCAGTTCTTGCAAGTGGTTTAAATAAATTAACAATGCATCTATAAAGTTGTTGGATTAGGTACAGTGCCTTAGTACCTTTCAGAACTGGCCATGCTCTTATTCTTGAAGTAAACATGCATATCTATGTTATATTTCAGATTCAGGAGCTCTGCAAAGAAGAATCTCGGTGGACTAACTATGATGATGATGAATTAACTGTGAAGATGAAAATGACTGAAGACATATTTGATAGCTTGATCCTTGATACAATCAGAGTTCTTAATAGGATTTATCTGAGAAAAGCCTGTGATTAAAAGTTTTTCCCTAAAAAGCCCTAATGGAGGAATTTTAAGCTCTGATTTTTTTAGGCAAGAAATGCATGATTTAAGAATTTTAATTCTGAACTTGTATCCAATAACACTGTGGCCTTGGCCTAATTTGTATGTTCATGTTTACAATCAAAGGATGTAAGCAGAGACTTAATCAGATAGAAAAATATTACACAAAACATTCTCCTTGTGTTTTGTGCTTTGGGAATGCTCATTAAGATCAATGGTCGTTTTAGACTGATGTCACACAGAATCTAAAGGGTGGAAATTTTATTCTTGTCTGTTGGGGCTTTTTTGGTCAAGATAGCACTTTATTCACTTACGCATTTTTAAAAGCACAACGTGTTTTAAAATTGTATACAAGTCAATACAAACAGGGTTCAAAACCATTCTATGTGTAAATTATTTTATTCTCTGCTATCATGTTCAGGTTGTGAATGATGACAAGTGAATCATATTTTGAAAATAACGTTCAGAAAATCGTAGGTGACTCTTTTAATGTAAATGTGCAGACAGAATTAAATCTAGAAATTGAATTGCTGTGGACCTCTGTAGTTTGGAATAAACTCCCCTGTCTGGAACAAGTCTGAAACCTTTCCTGATGGGTATAGCAAAGTTAAAGGTGACTGTGCACCATTTTTTTTTTTTAACATTTTTTTAATATGCTGTGGAACTGCTTAAAAGTAGCCTAGAGATGGCTTCAGAGATGTGGCATATGGAATGATTGTGCCCTAGCAGGATCTAGAGTCAGACATTCAGTTGTAATGTCTACAACTGTATGTAAATGAGACAAATACTGATGTAATGCACTTTAAATGGGATACTTTTCTATCAATAACTCCAATTTCTGAAAACTAAATATATGCAATTCACATGCACGATAAATAACCTAACCACAAGCCCTTTGCATTCTTACAACATCTAAACATAGGGTGCTGAGGATGTACTTTAATTGGCAAAAGAGAGCAAACCAATAATCCTACTCTTTTGTATTGGCAAAATTGGAAAAAAATCAAGATTTTTAACAAGGAAATAGAAGCATTCCCTGAGCATGGTAATTGTTCACTATGTATATTGCTGTAGTCCCACCTATTTTGCATTGAGAAGACCAATGATAATTTTTTTTTTTTTTTTTAGTTTTTTTTTAAATAAATACTGTGCAAATATTTCTTACTGGATTTCAGAAACTGTTCATTACTGAATAATGGAATGTAAGTAGATCTGATTTATTCAAATCCCATTCATTCGGGGTGTCTTTCAAATAAAATGAAAAGCAGGACAATCAAGTATAAACTATATATAAACTTATATTTTAAATAACAATATTTACAATCTGGTTTTGGTTGGAAAAATAGAAATACATTTTATGTTTCTATTTTTAAATACTGATGGCTTAACTGTTTTCATACTGAATTGTTTGTTTTCTGAATAAACAAAATAAACCCCCTGTATCTCATTTTTATTTCTTTTACTGAAATCGATTAGAGTTGCAGATTATACTGGACATACTGCTGTTCTCATTAGCGAATGGGAGTAGTTTTGCAGACAGCTCCTGGCGATGTTAAAAAGCCCTGTCCTGCTAGTTGCCATATGAACAGAAATAAAAAGGCAACTTCTGCCCCAAGTGCATTAACTGTTGATCTTATCCTATAAACTATTTTCATGTCCCTAGTGGTACATTTCCTTAAGTCTCTGACTTTGATCCTCATTGATTAATTAATCCAAATAAGTTATTTGTTCTAAGATTAATGTTTTCTTGTCGTCAGTTTATAGTAGAATTTAACTTTTTTCCTGGACTTATAGACAAATTGTTGGATACAATGATAAATCTATATATTGAAGCACTACAGTTTTTCAGTTTATTGTCACCATGGTTTTGCAGCAGCAGCAGGTTTCTTGTGTTCGGAATGAAAGCTATTAAAAATATCACTTACGAATAGTGATAGTGAATGAATAGTTGAAGGACTCATTTTATTCAGACTGGTGCCTTATGTTATGCTATATGTTACACTTGAGGAAGATAACCATTATATTTGCAATTAGGTTTGCGAGTGAACCCTTGCAAGATGCTATATACAGAAGGACATAGCTGTAAAGTAACTACTGCTGATGAGAATAAAAAGTGTATACACAGAACATGTCAGACATATTTAATATCCCCCACGATTCTGTGTTCAAAACCTTAGATTCTGGCACCCAGATATATTGACCTGCTCAGTCAGTGGCAAGACTTCAATATCAAGATTACTCTCCTTCAAGGTCTAATATTTTGTTTGCCTTGGTTTTGATCAATATTAACCTTCTGGGTCAATAAATCTTGATACTAGCCTCAAGAGGAGTCATTATCTTTCATAGAAAATGATTATTTCTCAGTTAAACCCTACATTTAATTTTCCTGTAATCCATCTCTTTCATCTTCATACGTTTAACAATTCTTCTGAATAAAATGCACTTTAAAATATCTTAGGCACTGCAGATTTTTAAAATCCTAATTAGCAGCTGCCACAAGATTTTCTAAATTCTTTGAAGCAGTTGGACTCTGCTATTGTAACCATCTAATTTTGTTGCTTACAGTACCCAGGAAAAATAGAGACTGAAACTCCCTCAGCTAGGATGTGATACAAGCAACCACATAACTGATAGCTGTGGATATGGATGCAAAAGATATGTGACAGAACCACTTCAGATATTAGCGGTCAAGAAAAGAGAGGATCAGGGAAAAATAAAGGCAAAGGTGGCAGAATCTGTTACTCAGTTCTCAGAAGAGAGGATTTTTACTGTATGTAAGATTTCCACCCTTGTACTGACTGTGCATTACTGGCCAGAAACAATGATAAAACTAGATTCTAACCTCTGAAGTTACACCAGTGGGCCTGAAGTAAGAATTTGGACCCACTTGTTTCCTACTTGGTCTTGAAGGATTAAGAGTGTTTGTGAGTAGCAGAAGCAAGAATTATCTTTTCAAGGACCTCAGTCTTTCATGATCTGAGTTTTAAACTCCTCTGAAGTCATCCTCTGGGGACATTTTCACATTGGTTTTCTGCCTCTGTTATGAAAATTCTTGAGCCTGTACTAACAAATGAAAGGAGACTTTCATACTGTGTCTACAGCTACAAAAGGTGCTAAAATCCACTACTAGTGCACAACCAATCCGAATTTACTAAAAGGACAGAGTTTCTAACATCCTCTTCAGAGCTTGCAGCATCCTACGTGCAGCCTTTCATCGCATCTTCAGTTTTGAGGACAAATGGCTCTCTCCCGCCAAGTGATGTACTTTGGGATCAAACACTTCTTGACCCAAAGGCTTGCGCTATTTTGATCTCTTCCCAGCGAGAAGCTTCGTGAAGTTCAAACTTCTGTTTCTATAGCGGATTGCCCCATAAAATCGTCCACTGAGCCATCTCTGTTGTTTTAACCTCATTAGTTTTACTTTTTTCCTTAAGACCATCCATCCCCCCAAGGGAAACGTGGCTCTAAACACAGCGGCAAAGGCTTTATTTGTGGTATGTCCTTGTCACCAGGGCTTGGTAACACACTTGGGCCATGAAGGGGGAAGGAGGGAGCGACCCTACCACCTCCCTCGCCTCGCACCTCCTGGGCTAAGGGGGGGGAAGGACATGGCGGCTGGCGGTTCGTGGAGGGGGGGGGGGCGGCTGCCAACAGGTGGGTCCCCACCCGGGGAAAGCCCGTGTCACCCTCCACGGCCGGTGTGGCGTTGGGAGCAGCGGGCAGCGCCGCCTCGCTTTCTTTGAACGAGGCGGGGAACCCCCGCTCCCCTCACAGGGAAAGAGGGGCCGGGCCTTCCCCTCAGGCAGCCAAAGCACCGGGACGCCGAGGCGGGAAGGAGCCGGGGACGGGAGCCGGGTCCCAGCGGCCGCCGCCCCGGCACTAGGCCGCGTCGCCAAGGCCGGCGCGTTGCTATGGCGCGGC